AAGAGATTAAAAATAGTGCAGTATACAGATACTGGAATTTATAATTTAGTAGAGAAGATATATCCAAGCGCAAATTCCTATTGTATACAGGGGTATACTTATCAGATAAGTCATACAGGAAAGTACTAGAGGACAGCAGCGGGTATAATAAGCACTGTGTTCTGGGGCTAAGCAGAAAAATTACAAGGACAAAGTGACATCTGATCTACACAAAACATAACGGTTAGAAGTCAGGCAAAGATCAAAAAGAGGGAGGAGGAGGGTCAATTCCAGGCAGAAATCACACATGAGGAACGGCACAGAGGTGGGAAGCCATAACAGATATTAGGGTAGTAGCAAGGGATTTGGATTGACCAGAATTCTGGGTGGGAGAGGGGTGGGATCCTGGAAAAATCAGCTGGCTGTTGTATCAGAGTGCAGCTTTGAGGAAAATATCTCTGATGAATGAATACAATAAACCAGGCATTCAGTGTGGGTTAGAACAATGAATTGCCAAATAGGGGATCTATCTAGCTATTTCAGTATGTCTAATTACAGAGCAAAAATGTTGCATTATAGGAAACAAAATACTGAATCAGCACATTAAGAAAGTATCCTCGTTAGCAATACTTATAAAAGAGTCAGGCTGTTTGAAGTTCCAGAATAGATTATTTATGACTTTGTGTGAACAGAGAGCCAGGAGATATGGAGGTGGATGACAAGATACACATAAATACATAGGAAGTATTCTAATACACTTAGTATTTGTTAGGAAGTGCTTACCCTCATCTAAAAAATGTGTTATTGACAAATCTAAGAAAAAAAAATTACTACAGGATATGCTCTACTTACATTTGCACAGGACATTACATTTTTACAAGTGCCTCTGGGTACACTCTTATTTAATCTTCATAAAAACAATCATATTGTTGAACACCACAATTATGAGTATACTCGTATTATTCCCATTTTACAGATGAGGAATGGGGCTCAGAGAGGCCCAAACTGTCCCAGTGCCACTTACGAGGTAAATGATAAAAGCTCAAATTTGAAACTAGACTCTAAAATGTGTATCTTTCTGCAACCCAATTTTGCTCCCTAAAAGCAGTGGACTTACTGGCTTTTTGACTTTGGGAAAGTCATTCAGACCTTCGAAGCATCACTGTCTTCATTTGTATAGTGGGAATAAAAATCATGCTTCACAGAGAAGTTCCCTTGGTTTGGGAAAGTTATATTTTTTTTCTAGAAAACTGTCCATTTATCTGTTTTCAAATGCATTGGACATTATTCATAGTATTCTCCTCTGATTTTAAACATCTTCACTATCTGTTGTTACAGGTCTTTTTTCATTCTAAATATTGTTTATTTGTGCCTTCTCACTCTTCTTAAAACAGTATTGCAGAGGTTTCTCCATTACATCGGCCCTCTCTAAGAACCAGTTTTGTTTTTGATTCTCTCTAATATTTTTTCCTTTGCATTACTTTTTTCTCTTATCTTTTTATTTCCATCCTTTGCTTATTCTACAGGCCAACTCTGTGTTCTAGTTCTAACTTCTCGTGAATATTTTCAGTTATTAATTTTAATGTTCCATTTCCATTATAATTTTTTCTTCACCCATTAATTAATTTGAAGTTTTTAATTTAATTTTTATTTCCAAACTAAACCTGTACTTGCATGTGTGTAGGATGCATGTGGGAGGTGCAGGGTGTGATGAGCAAGAGGAGAAGTTTTTCCATCAACTCTCTGTACTGTATTTTTCAGAAGTATGCTAAATTATTTGTAAATGGGTTTTCCTTTTTTATTTATTTTATTTTTCTTTATTGTTAGCTTCAGGTATACAGAACAATGCAATAGTTATCCTTTTCACCCTTCACACAGAAACAACCCCCCTCCCCCATCCACTGCCCTCCCACCCCCCGATATCATGCTTATCTATTACAATTCCATTGACTCCATTGACTCCATTCCCACGCTCTACTCCACGTTTTGTGACTATATGTATATATAATTATAGTTGACATACAATATTATTCAACATCAGCTTCAGAAATACAGTGTGGTGGTCAGGCCTCTATACCGACTATGAAGTGGTCTCCCTAACAAGACATGAGTCCATCTGGCCCCCTAAAAAATCCTTTTTTATTTTTAATTGTGGTAAAATACATATAACGTAAAATTTACCATCTTAATTAACCATTTAAAATGTAACTATTTTTAATGGTACAGTTCAGTAGTGTTAAGTATATTCACATTGTTGCACAAGGAATCTCCCAAACTCATTTCATTTTGCAAAACTTAAACTCCATACCCATAAACGACCCCCTACTCCTACCTTCCCCCTTCCAGTGGCACCACTCCTCTCTCTGTCTCTGTAAATTTGACTCTAGGTACCTCCTATTGGTGGAGTCACATGGTATTTGTCTTTTTGTGACTGGCTCATTTTACTTGTCAATATATCTTCAAGGTTCATCCATGTTGTAGTATGTGCCAGAATGTCTTTCCTTGAAGTCTGAATACATATCATTGCATGTATATATCACATTTGTTTATTCATCCCTCAAATGACATTTGGGTTGCTTCCATCTTTTAGCTATTTTGAGTAATGCTGCTATGAACATGAGTATTCAAATATCTCTTTAAAACCTTGTTTTCAATTCTTTTGGATATATACCCAGAAATGGAATTGTTAGAGAATATATTGGGTTGTCGGAAAAGTCATGTCGTATTTTTTGTTTTTCGTTGCAAAAATGTGTCATGATTTTTCCAACAACCCAATATAGTTGTATTTTAAAATTTCGTGAAACAGCCATCCTGCTTTTTATAGTGGCTACACCATTTTACATTCCCATCAACAATGCACAGACCTTCATAATTTTTTTTTATAATAGCTGTCTTAATGGGTATGAGATAGTATCTCACTGTAGTTTTGATTTGCATCTTCCCTAATGATTACTGACGTTGAGCAGTTTTCCATGTGCTTGTTGACCATTTGTATATCTTCTCTGGAGAACTAAATGATTTTTAAAAATAACTGAAACATAACAACATAGATATAATTGACTATATGGACAAATGGTTTGCCTTATGTTGAGACAATTCAGGATTGATCAAAATCAGCATACAATCTTCATCATGAATGGCATTACCTTTCTACCTGGTGTCTTTTCAGGAAACAGCTACAGTTAGAGATCAGGATAAGTGGCTATGAAATGCCTCAATACTTGACCCTGAAACATCTATAAATAGTATACTTCAGATGTGACTCCACGGTAATGGTGAGTTTTGCCCTAAGAATGCGATAGGTAATAGTGTAAAACCTATCAACCAACTAATAAACACAAATGTAGAGAATGCTATTTTACTCACAAATGAAAAAATCTGTTGTAGGGATTTTTCATGGTGAACACATCTTGCGGTTCTTGCTTTTTTTCTAGCACAGACTGAGGCAACCAACTGCAGTGACCAGCTAGGAGGAGGGCTGTTACTCAGCACAGAGAAAACATGTTGTTTTTGTTTTGCTTTTTCTAAGAATATTCTACCAACATAAAAGTTCTTTATATATTGTGTTTAGTTCTTTATATTTACCCTACTTAGGTATTATCTGTGCCTCACTTTTCTCTAGTAGTGTGTGTAGTCAAGAAATAATGGTATAAAAATATAAATAAAATGTAAGAATATACATTTCTATTAAAAAGTTATATACTTTGTTATTTGCAAAAAGAATAAAATCCCTATTTTGAAGCCTTTGACCTCTAGACCTTCTGAGAGTAACAAAAATGTCTAATTTTAGTGTGCCTTACCATTAGTAGACATTTTTAATAAGTTTATAAACTAATTCTGTAAAATATAGGAAACTACATATACAGATTTTATAACATGTTCATAATTCTAGACTAGTAACTTTTAGTATTTTTTTCCTATTAAAAAATGAATCATAAGAGGGGTTAAAATTGTAAACTTTTACATCCAGAAATATTTAGTTAGTTAACTCCCCAGTGAGGCTTGGCTGATGAGAATTACACATTGGGTGTTTTTAAGAGAAGATCTTTCAAGTTCTCACTTTTAAGTAATAATTTTATTTCTTTTACGTATTTCTTTGTAATTAGTGTCTTTAAGATGTGATCTGGATTTACAATCCTACCATATAATTTACTTCTATTTCTCTGAAGTAATTCCCTAATAAAATGATTAACAACAACAGTATAATGATTAATAATGATACATAATGTACTTTATAGCTCCTAGGAGATACAACTACTTTATTACAGATTTCATTATCTTCCTCAGTACTATGAAGTAGACAGGATGACAGGATATTATCATCTTTATGGGCATGTTAATACAAAAGAAGTTAAAGACATGTTGAACATTTACATATTTTCTGTGTCCATGGATATGCATATTGATAAATGTGGGGAATATTTGTTCTATACAATGATTTCATTTATGTGCCTGCTACAAGCCAATGTGACCCATCAAAAAAAGAAAGGTTTATAGCTTCCTAGACTGGTTACATGCCAGTGACCACCAACTTTTATCCTTATTTTGCTAACTTTCACTAATTCTCAGGAAAGTACTCTAAGAAAACAACAGTTGCATGAAAGAACTTAAAGTGGCATGAATTCATTTTGACTTGACAATTTTCTGTCTTTCACTTAAGTTGGGGAGTTGGAAAATTTCTGGTGTAGTTAAACAATAGGCAATAAACTGTCTTGGCAATACTTAGGAACATAGGCCTCAAGATCCAAGCCCCTATAGCTTAGGACGGAGCTGATCTGAAATGTAAATTTCCTGAAGTCTAGGCTTGAGTGCACGCTCAATCTGTGAAACATACAGTTGCAATGTTTTTCACCCACTGTCGTTAGTAAATGCTGCAAGGTAATACAGTTATGAAGATCAGTTTAAAAGATCGTTTAAAAGAAGTAGTCACTGATGGTAAGTGTCATCACTCTGTAAGTTTAAAAATAAGTCTCATTTTGAAATTTGGTTGTATATTCGGTTGTATATCATAAGTGACATACCTGCCCCAGGCTGCCTCATTTGTAGATGCTTTATTAACTGGAACACAGGAGGAGTCGATGATGGTTGATTTGTTCATCTTGTAGCAGAAACCGCATTCTGGATCCAACATACATTCATTACAGTAACTGAAAAATAAAAAGAGTTACAGTCAAGTTAGCAGAGGCAGTTGGTCCTTCCGCCGCATTTTCCCCTGGACTTTGTAGTAAGCTCGGAGCGATGAGACTAGTTTGAGCCATGGCAAAGTGACCTGTGCTGAGGCAGGTGACAGCTGGCAGGCTTCTTCCATCTCTCCCGCTCTGGCTGTAGCAACTTCAGAAGCCACTTTGAGATGGAAGATGCCTGGGTCTGAGACACCAGATGTAGAAGAACCCTGGTCCACCAGCAGCACATAAATTTAACTTTCCTAAGCCATTCACAGTTGTTATCAAAGCATGGTCCAGCCCATCCTGACCCAGCTGACTGGTTCCAAATTATACCAAAAGCATTTATTTCTCTTAATTGTTTCCATCATGTACCATGACTTTTCAAAATGGAAAATATATTTTTTTCAATATATATCCTGAAATAGAAAATTCAAAGACAGAAAAATATCTAAAGAAAAAAATTAACAAGCAAAAAGTCTACCACTATAATAATAGTCACTGTTAACATGTCGGTGGACACCTATACTTTTCACAAATATGATTGAGTATCAACTATGTGTTAGGCTTAATTTAAAAGAAGTTAGTATAGAAAAAAAAGGCTAATTTTCTCTAGGTTCACTATATCTACTGGTTGGAATGCAGAGCTATAATCAATTAATCACTGCTCACCAAACAACAGTATCCAAAGTACAGGAAAATTTTAAACAGGCAAAATCCTCTAGAGGGCAGGGTTTTCCAACCTAAGCCTATTGTGTGCTTGTAGAATGGGTTTTCCTTTTATTAGATAACTGGGTAAAGAAGATTTGGCATGTATATAGAGTGGAATATTACTTGGCTGTAAGAAAAGATGAAATACTGCCACTTGTGACAACATGGGTGGATCTTGAGATTATCATGCTAAGTGAAAAGGGTCAGGCAGAAAAAGTCGAGAACCATATGATTTCACTCACATGTGGCACATAAAACTGAAAGCAACAGACAAAATCTCATAGACAGAGATAACAGTTTAGTGGTTACCAGAGTGTAAGGGGGGGAGAGGGGTAAAGGGGGTCAAATATCTGGTGACAGAAGGAAATCTGACTTTGGGTGGTGAACACACAATGCAATATTTAGATAATGTGTTATAAAAATGTACACTTGAAACCTATGTAATTTTTTTTAACCAATGTCACGCCAATAAATTCAATTAAAAAAAAAAAAAGCTTTCTTGTTGTCATACTCATTTGCCCAGCAATTCTGGAGCACCTCATTCACGGCAGGTACATACAAGGCATCGAGGACACTAAGATGAATTAGGCTCAAGTCCCTGCTTCTTGGTCGATAAGAGGCAAGAATGAGAAATAGATATACAAGTAAATAATGGCAGTTCAAGAGAAAATAGTTATGAACTATTCTAAAGACAGAGGCCTGTTCACTTGTCCATAAGAGCTGGGGATAATTACAGAGGTGGTAATTGAACTGGAACATAAAAAATTGTCAGGCAAAGAGGTAGAGGGAAGGGCATTTCAGAGAAATGCTTATGTTACAATTAAAGATCACTCAGTACAGATGTTTAAATATCTACTGTGTACAAGGAACTAATTATACTATGGAGTGTGGGGGGAGAAACAGGGTAAGAACTACTTACTGCAAGTTATCCGAAAAAGATATGAATCCTCAAAATCAAAATTCTTTGATTCATTTAGCTAAATGGGAAAATACTGGTGCTGTTTAAAAATTATATTATCACTGCAGCCTCCTTCTGTAAATTTTTCCTTTGCCAACAGCCATCCCTATTTTTAAGTGAGACTTCAGCCCTAAAGCAAAAAGGAGGCATTTCGAAGCCTACTGAAACCTACTGAAAAGTCAACATATTTTAGAGAGGCGATACAGCATTGTAAATACAAAACTGTCCTCATCTCTGATAAGCAAAGTAAATAAAGCAATAGAAAGCATTAGCAGTGCTCCGAGCTTCTTGCTTTGAGAACTACACTAGCTTACTTTGAAAAGGAAGGTAATTCCTACTAGTACTTTACTTATTCTGCCCAGATGAGGTGGCCTCTAACACCCTGACTGTTCCAGTGGCTTTAAATGATACTTATTTTGGAAAGGTCAACTCACCCATTTGCAAAGAAATGACTCTACTTCTTTAAAATTCAGTAATTCCTATAAAAGCCTCCCAAAAGTAACAACAAAGGCTAATATTTTTTTGAAAACTTCCCGTGTGTACGTCAGACATGTGAGGTGTTATCTGTGATGCTTCACCTCCTCCATCACTCACACAAGCATCCAACCCTGACGACAGCCTCCCATTCTTTGAGCTTGCTTATAGTCAATGATCCCTGCTCTGCCATCATCATTCATTCGACAAATACAAATACTTTACACATCCTAAGTGCCAGGCAGGAGCTGGGACACATCAGGGCACGACACAGGTTCCCTGTGCTGGTGGATTAGATCTCTGAGGGACCTCCAGTTAACTGATCCCTCTACTTGTTCCCTATTCACTCGCTAGCTTTTTTCCTGTCTTTAGTTCTGTCCTTATCCACCTTGTTGACCATGGCCCGTAATTTCAGCATCCTCGATTTCCCTGCCCATTTATCTTTCCATCTCATGTATCTAGCACAAATCCTAGCCATATACAGTAATACCTTGGTTTGCAAGCATAATTTGTTCTGGAAACAAACTAATCATATTGCAAGACATCACTCGTTTACCACGTTAAAATGTATGAAAAATGTCTGCTCATCTTGTGGAACACTCACAAGCCACATTACCCACAATCCAAGGTTTTACTGTACATGAATGCAAACATTTGCCTGTTGTATGCCTTTAGACCCAAATGCAGCTGAAGGAATAACACATCTGGGCAGATCAGTAGCTCCTGAGCAAGGCACCACTTCTAGTCTCAAAAGGATCCTCAACAGCCTGAAATTCTTAATAGTGTTCTCTAGCCAATGCCAGACGAGGACTATTTCAACCACTCTACACAAGGACTATTCTTTAAATCTCCAATGCTCCATTTCCCTTTACTCTCTCCAAATGACCTCACCTCCAGCTTTAGAAAGTAAACAGATGAAAGTGGTACGGATGGTAACTTTGTCATCTTACAGCAAACATATAAACCATCCTGCTTTCATACGCTCAGGTTACAAAGAGAAACTTGTTCTTAACCTAAGGCCAACTTCTCTTTCCGGGCTTTCATTCCATTGTATCTCCTTAAGTCACGTCAGACCCTTTTGATTACTGCTGCTTCCTTCTCTGACACATCTCAAGGTGGAAGATTAGGTTTTCGATTTGATAGCTTTCTTGTTTTTAATGTAGGTGTTTATAGCTACAAACTTCCCTCTATGCGCTGCTTTAGTTGCATCCCATATTTGGTATGTTGTGTCATTTTCATTCTTCTCAAAGCATTTTCTAATTTCCTTTGTGATTTCTTCTTTGATCCACTGTATTCAGGAGTCTGCTATTTAATTTTCATATATTTGTAAATTTCCAAAAAAAGATTTCTTTCTGTTAATGTTTTGTAATTTCACTCCACTGGGACCAGATAACATACTTTATATGATTTCAGTCCTTTCTAAATGTATTGAGGCACATTTTATGGCCTGGCATATGACATATCCTAAATGTTCCTTGTGCACTTAAGAAGAATGTGTATGTTGGTGGTGACATGTTCTCTAATTGTCTGTTAGAGCTAGACGGCTTGGAGTAATTATACTAACTTGAAAGCATCTTAGCTCCTTGGTTTCTAAGTCTTCATCTCCATTTAACTCTGTCTACATCCTGGGAATTGTCATTATCTAGAACAGATGTCAGCAAACCATAGCCCTGGAGACAAATCCAGACCACCACCTCTTTTTATAAATAAAGTTTTACTGGAACACAGCCACACCCCTTCATTTACTTACTGTCTATGACAGCTTTCAAGCTTCAAGGGCAGGGTTGAGAAGTTCTAAAAGAATTCATGTGGCCTGTAAAGTCACAAATATTTACTGTCTGACCATCTACAGGAAGTTTGTTGATCCCTGATCTAGAACATATATACAGATCCCACAGGCAGACTTCTTACTCCTCTTCTTCAAGATCTCTGATTTCCTTACTCCTAGGACAACTGCCCTTCTACCTCAGAGACCTTCCACAATCCTTTCTTCCTGATCCTTCAGTTCCTGGCTTTGAGTCCTTCTCTGTCAAACTTTCATGGGAAATCCCTTTTACCACTCTCACCAGACCCTCAGAGTCTTTGTACTTCTGTCCTTCTAAACAGTCACCCTATAAACATTTATGTTTGACTGTTCCCAACCATCTTTCTTCTTCCCTTCTACATCTAGGATGCTCCTTCCTGGGAAGAGTGAACACAGCCAGGCATACTGATAAAAGGACACGTGTGTAACTCTCAGCTGCACCTGGATCTATACTGCCGCGGGCAAACTCTCACCTGGTGCTAATCAGCGACATCCTCCCCTCCCACGGCTGATAGCCCTAATACCCATAACTCCTCCAACCCCGATCCTTACTCCCCCACAAATCTCTTAGAAGATGGCCTTGTCACGCTGAAGGGGACTAGGCATGAGCTTTCTCAACTTTAAATTCAGACATGAACAAAGATATGTGTAGCCACATCTGTACTCGCCCCCCTTTTCCTCCAGGCTCTGAAAAGCCGGTGTTCAAAGGTCATCCATCTAACAGAGCTTTTAATCTCAATCCCTCTGGCCTTCACCAGGACCCATACCTTGTCCCATTGGTCATACTTTCAAATCCCAGAACACACCCCATTGTCTATGTGCAGGCTCAAGCCTTTCCTATATTAAAAAAAGCATGAAAAACTGTCCTTTCTACTATTCCATACTTTCCCTCCATACCGATTCATAGGGGTACTCAGTGAAAAGAGGTCAAGTATTAAAAACTGTTCAAATCCTTGCCATTCCAGGGAGTGGGCTACTGTTTGGGAACTGATGTGGCCAGCCCTTAGCTGGACTTACAGCCTCTCAGGTTTTCGGAGA